CGGCGAGACCGCGGCACTTGGCGCAGCTACGAACTTCTGCTGAAATCCCTGGTCGTAAATCTGCATTGGCGGGCAGGCCTGGCGAGCTCTGCCCGGGGGCACTTCGGAGTAAACTTGAATTCAGAACGGCCTTACGTTTTCTCCCCTCGTCCCGGGCGGTTGCTTGCACTTGTGAGTTTGAACTGGAGATGGGCGAAGACAAGTCTATGAATTCCAAGATAAGAAGAGGACCTTTGAATCGGGCTTAGAAATCCCAGCCCCCGGTCTCTTTCGAATGCGCCCAATAGCACTCTTTTTTTCCATTTGAATAAGACATTGACCACGCCTTACTCTCGACTATTTTTTAAAAGCTCTCCTTTTGTCGCTTCCCTTGCTCTGCCAAACCGTATGAATTCAAATCTGAAAAACAAGCGGGGGGGGGGGGGGGGGGGGGGGTAGCAGTCGTTTCAAATGCACCGTTAAAATTCTTGCAGAGGGGGTGGGGTGGAAGATGTTTTGCTTTTGCCGTAAATAAGCTATGAAAATCGAAGAAAGCCAGCCAGGAACGTAAGAAACAGAGGCTGCAGAATTCACTCTTGATTTGCTGCAGTGTGTTACTTTCTGCAAAAAGGAAAAAGCCAGAAACTGTTCTGGAAAACCCATCCAGTTAACTTAGTTTCTTATGGTGGTCTGCTGCAGAGGAAGAGTGATGTTTATAGTAGGAGTCAGGCTTTTTCCATAAACCCCTGGCTTTCTTGCTTATGGATCCCTAAAGTATCTGCTTTGTAGGTGTGAGTCTACAGTACATATGTGTACATAAGCTGTAGGCTTCATTTACAGCACAGACACCCAGCAAAGTCACTTGGAAGAAAATGTCACCAAGGATCAATCCATAAAATATGCATTGGGTTACAGCATTAAGCAGCAAGCTTGAACCTGACTTAATGGAAGGTGCCCCCACCCCCATTTCCTTGTGTTCACACAACACATCCATGGTTTAACTTAACCATGGTTTACTCAACCCAGTTTTCTGCCTTCATGTGACACACTGAATTACATGGGCTGGATTCACATAATGCATGAGGCTAAAATGCAAATGCTTTGTAATGCTTAGTTTAGTGTGTCATGTGAACTCAGCTGTTCAGTACCACAGAATTTATTTCTAAATAAAGTGCATTAATTTAGTTTTCCAGTGTTGCTGAATTGGCCAAGCTGGTTGGGACTCCTACATTTGTAATTCAATGTCAGAAGAAATATAAGGCCATAGATGTCAGTTGGAAGCCATAGTGACATCATGTATATTATGACATCATTGTGCAAATGACTGTTTCCACAGTGTCAAGATGTATGCGATATCATGCTTTGCACCAAATTCTTGGTAGCTGGCTAGATTCCCACAACATGCTAAGACATAAATGAGCAAATCACATCTTGGCTTAGCATGTTCTGTGACCTCAGCTGTTGTGGGTTTATAAACTAAGGTTTTTAATACAGCATGTGATCTGAGCTACTTGTTATAAATCATGATCAAACAAACCATGACTTAACAATATGTGTACCCAGTCATAATGTAAATTTTCCAAATCCTGGCTTTAGCTGAGGAAGGGATCATGTGGGTCTCCAGAAATCCCATATTTTGGCCAGGCCAGCTAGGACTGCTGGGAAATGTAGTTCAACTACATTTGTAAGGCCTTAACCTTTCCTCTATTTATCTAGTTAATTTCAGCATGAGGGCCCATCATCAACACTTGTGTTTTACAATGCCTACAACAACAGGTCCCAATTCTGAGAAGCTCACCCTTTCAGGTCAGAAATAGCCCGGGGGGGGGGTTCCACTTTTCTCCTCATTATTTCATCAGAAGTACATTAGAACAGCGTTTCTCAACCTTGGCAGCACTTAAGTGTGGACTCAACTCCCAGAATTCCCCAGCCAGAAGTTAATTCTAGGTGGAGATGGAAACATTTAGATTGAGAGATACCACTCCTTTGCCTATTTACATGGAAGTAAACAAGTTGAATATGCTGGAACCTGTTTTGGAGCCACCACAAATCAGGGATTAGCACTATTGGCAGAGTAGAGTTGTATGCCTGGCACAGTATTGGAAGTTATAGGTTCCTACAAACTAGTTGCCGAGCTACATGAATGTCAGTTTTTGCATCATTGGGGAACAGCACAGCAGCCCCCAGCGAATTCTGGCTGATCTCAGAAAGTCAAAGATCTGGTGGAGACTTGTATGGGAGACTACCAGGAAATCGCTGGGTTGTAGGGTAGAATGGGAGGTCAACACAAAATCCCAAAAGAAGGCAGTGGCAACCCCCTTCTGTGTTTTTGCCGAGAAATCAACACACCAATGTCCATACAGTCACCAAAAGCTGAGTTCAGTTCAAAGGAAACTTGAGCGGTAGAGTCAATGGTCTTTTGGTCTGGTCCAGCCTAGCCCTTCTTACATTTTTATGTTAGCACTGCAGGCTACAGCTTCAGAGGGTTTCTCTTCCTACCTAAATTGAGACACTAAAATTCTTTCCTGAGTAGTTTATGTTGAGCATCACTTGAGTTTCACGGTGATACTGATTTCCATTAGGGGAAAGGTGGGTCGAGGAACGGAAACCCCTTCCTTCTGCTCCGCTTTCTTCCTCTCCCTCTCTTGGCTGTTGCACGTCTGCATTTGTTTTCCAACACAGCCTCTTGCAAGTGCTGAATCAATGCCTTATTATGGTCATTAGTGCCGAGCACCGAGGCACTTAGAGAAGCAACTTGCAGTAGCGGCTTCAGCCAGAGGAGGTAGCAAAAGCAGCCCTCCTCCAGAGGAGACCCAGGGCCAGGAAGAACTTCTCTTGCAATACATTCACAGCAGCAACTGCAGAAAAGATGCATTCTGCAAAAACAGCAAGAGGGCAGGCTAAGTGTCTGCAGATACAGTAAGTGGCTGATAATTATTTCTTTGCAAACCAGAACAGCGTGTGGTTGGTGTTATTTTTATAAACCAGTCCTGTTTCTCAGTCTTTATTTAGCTAGTGGGTGATGACTTGGAGCAGAACTGAGGAGGAAAATGTGAGCAGCTTGATTTCTGAGCCATCACACTCACCTTAACAAGGTTTGTCCAGATTCGGCTTAACGTGTAGCGCAAAGTCGACCGCTCTTGTTTTATACCATGCTTTATGCGTGCATGTATGAATCCGTCCAACTGTGGTGTATTCAATAAAACATGGTTCACTGTGATTTATTCAACAAACCATGGTTAAACCATGGGTTAATGTGATACAGAGTTTCTGTCAAACTCTTAATACCTTCAGCTGGCTTTGCTATACAATAATACTTTCTGCATTTATGCTTTAATAAAAGTATAAGAATGAGAATCAGTTGGGGTAAGGCAGCATCAAAAATAAATAAAACTAGGTTTCAAGCAAAGATTCTTTCTGCAGCAACTTTTCAAAGTTTCTCAGCTCTTAATGGTCCCCTTGGATCCAGAGTGTACAAAATACATTTTGATTAAGTCACCATTTATTGGTTCTTTTTGAATTCTTGGTCATTTTCCACAGGACAAAACTCCCGGTGTTACACAGTTAATAACAGCATTTTTAAATTTTTATTTTACTTAGTACTTTGAGTCAGTGTTGACTCCTGGTTACTGCCTGGACAAATCTGTGCTGTTTTCTTGCCCAGATTTTCACAAGTGGTTTGCCCTTGCCTCCTCCTTCCTAGGGAGAAGAGAGAAAGCAACTGGCCCAAAGTAAACCCAGCTGGCTTTGTGCCTAAGGTGGGGCTAGAACTCACCTTAGGTTCTGTCCTTTAACCACTACACCACACTGCCTCTCTGATATGGTAATTAGTCAGGATATATTTTAACAAGATTGCTCTTTTATCTCCCCTTACAGAATTATGGTACTTACTCTAGGCAATGTTACTATTAGGAAATTGCAGTGATGGAGTTTCCTGTGCGTTTAAGGAATGGGTCCTGCTCATTTGGGTGTTCCTTTTGTACTAGGAGAAAAAAGAGTCTGAATCCGGCATCATATTTCCATCCTGTGGAATTCATGAGGAGAGATTAATCACCACGACCAGCTTTTGTGATTCTTTGTCCACTGTGGAAGAATCTATTGTGTCCTATTTTGAGTAAAGCATGTTTAAAAGAAGACACTTAGTGAATCCTTTTTTTTTTTTTTTTGGTGCCTTTGAGTCAGTGTTGACTCCTGGTGACTTCCTGAACAAGTCCCTGCCATTTTTTGGCAAGATTTCGGAAGTGGTTTGCCCTTGCCTTCTTCCTAGGGCTGAGAGAGAGTGACTGGCCCAAGGTCATCCAGCTGGCTTTGCGCCTAAGGTGGGACTAGAACTCACAATCTTCTGGTTTCTAGCCTGGTGCCTTAACTCCTACACCAAAGTGGCTCCAGTGAATACTACACACAGCAAAAAGCCTGCCTTTGTCCCTAGAGTTAGTCCCAGGGCTCTCACATCCCACCGGCAATCCAGCAATGGCGCATCAGAAGAAGGAAACAAGGTTTATGAGCCTGCTGTCCCTTAGCTTTTCTGAGGAATGCATGTGTGTGAGAGAGAAGCAACTGTTTGTTGAGAGTCTGGCTTCTCGCCATGCCCACTGGGCATTTTAGGTGGCTGACTTTAGTTGAGCTTGGAAATTAAGCAGGGACAGGTTAGTAGTGGATGGGAGACCACCAAGGAATGCTAGGGCTATAGGCTAGACTGAGAATTCAAAAAATTCCTGGAAGAGAACAACAGGAAAACTTCCAGTCTGTTCCCTTGCTTGGCTCAAAGGTGACCTTACTTTCAGAGCTCAGGGAAGGAAAGGAACCTGATGAGCATTTAGACCAGTATTTTTCAAACTTGGCAACTTTAAGAAGTGTGGATTTCAACTCCCAGAATTTGCCAGCCATTGCCAAGTTTGAAAAACACTCATTTAGACAATGAGATGGGAAAACAGGCATGATGGTAACCACATGAGTAAGCTTCCTGGTCTATTGCTTCAAGCAGCCATATGGAAGAGTGGTTAATCCTCTTTAGATCCTGGTCAGCTTCATGGCTGAAAGCCACCACACCTAATCCCATAACTTCTCTTCCGAGAAGAACATTTATCTCACTAATTTCTTCAAATACCAGCTTGAAATGAGGCACGTGTAGCTCAGTGGAAATTTGGTCCACACCAATATTGGATGTATGAACCTATGGTTTCATTCTACCTCATTTCTCAGAAAAGTGTATTTTTAAAATGCTGTTCTGAAAACCCAGAGTTCTTATCTTAAGGGTTTTGACACATTTTCTGAGAGTTGTCATAGTTTCTATACACATTTGATGTGACTATCTCAACACTTTTTTTTCTGCAGCCACTTCTTTCCTATGCAACTTTCATATTATTGATTAAAACATAAATCTATTATAAGGCATTAGTGGTACTCTCACAAAGATACTCTTAATTTCCCTTTAGATTTCTCAAGTATGTGCAAACATTTCCTGATTGAGAACAACCCCTAGCAGTGGTTTCACTCATCATTGAGCGATGAGCAACGAGTTATGGGATTAGGTGTGGTGTCTTTCAGTCATAAAGCTGACCAGGGGTCAGGGCAATGTGAAGTTTAAAAAAGTTATTGATTTAAGTTATAATCGTATCTGTCTTGTGTAGAATCCACTAGTGGTTAAGGTGCCAAGCTAGAAACCAGGAGATGGTGAGTTCTAGTCCCGCCTTAGGCATGAAAACCAGCTGGGTGACTTTGGGAGGGTCCCTTTCTCTCTCAGCCTAACTCACCTCACCTCAGAGTTGTTGTGGGGAAAATAGGAGGAGGAAGGAGTACTACGTATGTTCGCTGCCTTGAGTTCTTTATAAAAAATAATAAAAGGATAAAACAATCTAAAAAAATATTTGGAAACATGGAAAGTATTGGAACAGAGGGGTAAGCAGTAAATAAATTCAACCGAAATCATTTAAATGAGAAAAGGTGATACTGGTATACAAACAGATGCTCTAAGGCCTCTTCACTGTTCAAAATTCCTATACAGAAACTCTTCTGCTTGTTAGAAAAAATGGATTATCTCTCAATAACTTTATTCAGATATTCTTGATGTTTTGTTCTGTTCAGTAAAATTCTATTACTTCAAAACTATACAAAATTTACAGTTCTGTGCTGTTTTCAAATCCTCTCAAATAATAACAGCAGCCAAGGATTTGGGCTGTGTGATCTCTCTCAATAATATATTTTTTCAGGGATGTCCATAGGGTATGGTCAAACAAGTCAAGATGGGGATACAAGATACAATCAGATTGTGCTTATATTCTATCTGTGTTGCCTGCATGATGCACATAAAAACAGGTGAAGCTTCAACCACAGCTTCCATCTTGACTCTTTTGACACACCTGCTGGCCAGGTGTGTCATAGATGGGACGTTCACTTCTTGACCATCACCCCAGATGCCTTGTAACAGGGACAGGGTGCAAAACAAGCACAATAATTCCATAATATGTTCAACCCTATGAAGGTTTTGACAAGATTCTAATATCCTTTGAGGAAAAAAATTCATTGCATCAAATGCAAACACCTTTTTTTTAAACATAGCAAGCTGCCTTCCACTAAATGAGACTATCTGAGTGTCCATTCAATACTGTTCTTTCTTCTGATGGGCTGTGCCTGTGCAATGGACCTAAAAGGCGAAGCTTCAATCACACTGTTGCAGCCTCCATCTTGACTTTTTCGACCACACCCAGCAGGCACAGCTAATGGTCCTTGAAATAGAAAGCTGAAAGGAAGACCAAAGTGTGGCTACTGTGGGCCATCTTGGGGTGCATCTGCAGAGTTCAGCTGCTTTGGTTCCTATGTAAAGGCTGACATTTGTGCTGCCTCTGATAGCTTCCTAATAGAAAGGCTTAATGCATAATTTATTTCCATGCTCCTCTTTTAGAACCAACTCCTTTAGCAAGCCAGGAATCAGCTTAGTCAATTAACCTCCCCGCTGCAACATTTCTTCTCCAGAGATCACATCAAAGTCCAAATCTGTTGATGGGAAAGAATAGATGGGGACCCACCACTGGACCTCTGATACATCTCTTTTCTTCTCTTTTGCTATGCACATTATTTCAGTACTGACTGCAAATAAATGCTGTGCTGTTTCATCCCTTAACAGTTTATATCCTTCAGATTTTCCCTGGGTATATTCAATCACATATGCCTGAGGAGGTGGGTAATATTTCACACACGCACATATCAGTTCCTTGGACCTCATTCAGGGTTGGTGAGATTTTCAGTTAGCAAATTCCACCATATCTGATAGACATCTGGTTCGAAGCACTATCATTTCTACAGAAAACTTAAAGATGGGCACACACTTGTTATTTATTCACTACCAGGGGCATATGCAGGAGGGGTGTCCAAAAAGCAAGATGGCAGCTGTGCCAAGCGATCAAATTCTCATCCATGTTTTACATGTGTGGCATGCTCAGCACATGTACAAAAGGGGCAAGGCTTTAATCGCTGGGTCACAGTTGCATCTTTTTTGTCCCCTCCTGTGGATGCCCCTACAACAGCGTGCTGCACTGTGTCATCCAATTTCAAAAGATCCTCTTCCTCCAGGAGAGAGGTGTCTGTTTTTCTACCTTTTTCTCAAAATACTTGAAAATGTATCTCTTCCAGTGGATATGCTTGCATTTCCAAGATTAGAGGAGGGAATAAAAGGTGCTAATGCTGGTGTTTTCTGTTACACATCTTTCCATTACTCTGAACCTTTTTCCCTTCTGAAAAAAGCCAACAGGAGAAGCTTCCTTGGCATTTATCTAAAGGGCACGGAGCCAGTGTGGTTGTAGGCCATTAGAGAGATGATTGTAGAGTGAAAGATAGGACATTCTTGCACATTACCCCAGTTGCCTTGTAACTGGGGCAGTGTGCCAAACAAGCACAAAACTCCATAGCTTATTCACTCCATGAAGGTTTCAGCAAAATTTTAATATTCTTGGAGGGAGAGGGGGGAATTTGTTGCCTCAAATGCAAAAGACTTTTTTTTTAAACATAATAACCTGCCTGATACTAAATTAAGCTGTTTGAGTATCTATTCAGTTGTTTTCTTTCTTCTGACTGGCAGTGGGCCTGCTCTGTATCGAAGAAGACAGAGATCTCCACTAATTGCAATCATAAAAATGGGTAAAACTTTCATCACACTGTTGAGGCCACCATTTTGACTTTTTTTTACCATAGCCCACAGAGACTCCTGATAGCTAGTATGGTTAAGGCTTTTCTTGGTGATGGTACCTTGGAAATTAAGCTTTTTCCCTTTGCCGGTCATCAAATGCAACGTTTAAGGCATCTTCTGAAAATCAGAAAGCTTCAGACTTCCAGTAGGGCTACAGTTATCAGTTGCAAAACTCTCAGCAACCATCAGGCAGCAGCAAAGACATATATCAACAAACTCTTAACTCTGTGGCCACCCAGTGGACTGGACTTTTACAGCCTAGATCCACCCTTGTCCAGGAAAGTAAGGTGGTGATTACTGCCAGAACAATAGTCAAAGTGGGACCACTGAAGAAGAAATGGGAGGGATCACCATGCTCAGAGGAACACGAGTTATACATGTGCTGAAAGTTTCTTAAGGAGACATCAAGTCAGCAGAATGAAAACTCAGCTATGAGTGAATATGATAGTTTCTTCACAAATTTAGATTGCATCAGGAGCTCAAGGTGGCATACAAAATAATCTCTCCTCCAGTGTTTCCTACAATAACCCTATGAGGTAGATTGAGCTGAAACATAACAGCTGACCCAACATCACCCAGTGAGGTTCCATAATTGAGGGTGGGCTTGAACAGGTCACCCGGTCCTGATCCAGCACCCTAAGTGTAAAGGCTCTGAGATAAGTGAGACACAGATACAGAAATCTGGAGAATGAAATGATAATGAAAAAGGGAGGGTGGAGTGAATTAAGTATTCTGCAAGAGAGCATTTCTCTCTGTCTGGGACTTTAAAGGTGAACTCTCTGCGCTGCAACTTTGTGGGATAAACTTACCTTCTAGTGTTAAACTGCTCTCTAATTGCTTTTGAAGAAGTTTCATCTGCCAGAAATGCTTTTTAAAAAAATATCGTTAGCCACTTGATTGCTTTCATGATGCGAGGAAAGCCATCTA